GGATAGTTAAATATCAACAATAATAATAACACGTATATACAAATGTTATGAAAAGAATTTATTATTTGTAAATTTCATTAACTTTTTTCTCTTATTCTTATATCTATTTCCTATAGCAATATTTTATACTGTTTCCATTAAGCAATTTTGTTTTGCGAAAATAATTGCCACAACCTTTCACAGAACAGGACATTGTGTATGTAACACCGAACATCAAAGGCCCGGCTACAATACACGGAGTAAGAAGTAAGAGTAAGAAATTGACCAATCACAGTCGATTATTCTTCTCACATTCGACTGTGATTGGTCAATTTCTTACTCTTACTTTTTACTCAGTATATTGTAGACGGGCCTTAATATCGTGTCAAGCATCAGGAGCCGCCATGTTTTCGTTTGGGCGGTCTGATTGGCCCTGAGAGTGACGTCACACTTTGACTGCGCAGTGGGTATCCACGGCGTGAGCATACCCTTATCCTTATACCATGTATGTACCCACAAATATTTTCGGCTGATAACATATCGACGGACTTTGATTCGTCCTGTGTTACCTACGTTGTTTGGTTCTATTCCGAGCTATGGGTAAGGTCAACGCGATGCTACAAATGCTTTAAAGCAATATTTTTGATTGGTCAATTTGTAAAATTCTTTTTTCTAATAGGTCAACCAAAGGCTTCAAAGCCTTTCTCATTTGTAATGAGACTTTGACCGCAAAGACATCAAAAGACATTCCCTCACCTCTCACTCCTGTTGTCTACTGATTATACTCCATCAGGCTTGCCGCCAATGTGACAAATTGTCAATGTTGTTATGAACAAATCTTATTTTCATACTACAAGTTCGGAACACGGCGTGTTCTCGTTCTCGCCCTATCTGACGACAACGTGGAAAAATGACAGGATCTGTGACCGGACTGAAGAGCGTGGTCTAGGTACTAATTGTAAGGTATACCTTCGAACAAATCAATGACATAAATGCGCTCGGCTATCAGCGTTATCCTGTCGAGTCCGGTGCCCGACAACAAGATGTCCCATCCCGATTACGAGCAGACCGCCCACGATCACGCCGCCCTGCTGCTACTGCTGAGGCCAGTTGGCACGCAGATCAAACCGAAGACGGTCAGTAGATTATGTGAACGAATCGTCAAGGCTGGCAGCAGGTTTTCCGTATCCGATTCCAGCGGCGGCACCCGAGAGATCCTCGCCCGATTCATCAGGGAACATCCCGTGGAAAACAATGACTGGGGAGACTTTCAGACACATAGGAGACTCCTAGGTTTGATCACATTTGGCAAGTATGACAATCAGACGGAGCTGAATGAGTTATGCAGATTACACGAAACTCTGAAGGTGAAGTATAGCAGTACCCTGTATGATTCACGAGCCATCCTCTTTGGTCCCCTTGAATCAAATGGCCGTCATGAGCCACCACCAGGCTACACTACGCCCAGCAACTTCAAAACGCGGGCAATATTCTATGCGGACGAAGCATGTCCTGATCTCGAGACGCAAACAGCTGAATATCTCAATTTTCTATTCTGGATTCTGGAATCAAAAAGATTAGAGCGATCCAGAGAGAAGATAGATCGTGTCTCTCTTCTGTTAGCTCCATTTGAAAAGAAAGATTTTATTGGGCTAGACCTCGAATCCAGAAATAATAAAAAAAGATGTGTGGGCCGTATGACAAAGCATTTGGGAGATCTTTGTCTTCAAGCTGGACTTCCAGCTGATGCCCTGAATAATTATAATTCTGCAGCCAACATTCTGCAGGCTGTCAATGACTGGCTGTGGCTGGGAGCGGCATACGAAGGTCTCTGTGCTGCTTCGGTCTTAGTTCTTTATCCTAATATGTGTCGAAGTCTTCCATTGCAAAGAAATTCTTCTTTACAAGAGGGAAGTCCAAGTAAGCAGAGGTATGGATAATTTTTGGTCAAAGAATTATATGATACAAAACATAAAATAATATTTTTTTGTAAGTCATTATATATGTAGTTAAAACGTTAAAGCATCTATGCTTTTATTAGAAGGTAGATTTAAAGATATCAAAATTAATGAACCAATCATTTATCATTTTATAGACGAGGATCACAAGCTCTTACAGTTTTGCCAGCTCCACCTAGTATAGACATGGTAAAAGCCAGCATGCAACATATTTTACTACCTGAAGAAATATCTAAGAAATATCGTGAAGCTATAGTACATTATAGTAAATACCAATACGCAGGTATAATTGAAACTGAAGCTAGTTTCAAAGCTACAAGAATTTCAATAGAACAGAACTGCACCTTACAAGCTGCATCATATTTGAATAATGTTGTATTGATTAATTTGCCTCTCAGTGAGCAAGAAAAAGTATGTAATATTAAGATAATGCAGGAAATTTCAACATATAAAATTTATCAAGGTGCTATATAGATCAATATTTCAGATTGATCGATTTACTACATTATCAAATTTATATACGAGCTTTGGTTTTGATAGAAAAGCGTCATTCTGTTTACGATTGGCCGCCACTCGTCATGTATCCCAAAATAATCCTAATCCGGACTGGCAACAATGTTATAATTTGATGTTGCAAGCTACATCTGGATTTAAATTATCTTTAGATCCTGTTGATATACCACCAGGTAACTGCACAATGATTTAATATAAATTTCATATAATTTGATTTTTTATATTTTCCTGTTTATTATACATATTTTTTTTAATAAATATATAAATGTGTTAAATTTTTTTCCAAATAATCAGGGTTGGGTAAGTTAATTTTTTCTTTTAACTAAGTTAAGTTAAAGTTAACAACCTTGAAAATTTAACTTAGGGGCCGATTCTGTAACTCTTAACGACAGTCGTTGATGTTGTTGCGCAGATATTATGTAGAGTAAAAAAGCTGCGCAATGACATCAACGACTGTCGTTAAGAGTTACGGAATCGGCCCCTTAGTTAAGATACAAGTTAATGTATAATGAAATTAATTGAATTAAAAGTTAAGTTAATAAAAAAAAGTAATTGAAAAATTAAAAGTTAAATTTCTTTCTATTTTATGATTTCAGAGTCTTACAAATAACGGAAATGACAAACGTATACTTCATTTAGAATATACTCTATATTTTATTTAAACTTTTTGTTTATATATACTGTTTTATGTATATGTATATATATATATAAATTTCAACCTATCAAAAACTAGATACATTAAAATATATGGTTTTTGCTAGATTGAAATCAATATATAATGTAAATAATATATACAAACAAACAACTTTTAAGTAAAATATAGGGTATGTTTTAAATGAAGTATATGTTTGAGTTTGAGATTTAACTTCAAAAAATTTAAATAAAAAGTTAATAGTTATCGATAAAATGTAACTAAATAAAAAGTTAAAAAGTTAAGAGTCTAAAATATAACCAAGTTAAGTTACAATTATTTAACTTTTTAACTTAACTTTTAGCTTTTTAACTTGGCACTACCCAACCCTGCAAATAATGTTAATGAAATACTTTCTAATATTATTTTATTTTTTATTTCGATTGTTTTGTGATATTTAAAATCATATTATTTTCTTATAGATGGACAAAGAGGATGGCCAGCCATACAGATCCAAATAATAAATGAACTTGTTGCTGCTGCAAATCGAATGGGTAATCCGGCACTTGCTACAAGGCATTTAACGTTTTTGCTCCAAACAATGTACAATCATCTAATGCTTACCGAACGGAAAGATATTGCATTGCAGTTACAAAATGTATCTCAACAGTGCGAGGGTGCACCAGTCCCCCTAGTATGTTAAAAAAAAATTATAATGTATAAATAATTATGTCTCACATACATAAAATAATGTCTTTTGTGACAGGTTTTAGATTCTGGTACCGTCATACCACCGGCTAATTTATTAAATATACCAAAAACAAAATTGTTTACTCTGAAAAACATGCAGCCGCACTTACAGCCTCAAAAAATAAAAAGAATAAAAGAAGATCATGGTCCATTTTTATTTACGCCAATTAACTTCGGATCATTAGAGCGCAAGAATACTTCAAAGAGTAAAGTTGGTACGTGTATATCTAAACGTTGATTATTACTATTAATAGTTTAATATCTCTAAGAATAAATTTTTTGTTATAATAGATTATTTGTGGGTGGAAGGAGATATCTGTGAAGTGTCAATGCAGCTCATAAATCCTTTACCATTTGAATTACACGTATCTAACATGAGACTTTTGACAAATGGCATAGTATTTGAGTCGATACCAGAGAGTATTAGTCTGCCTGCTGAGTCTGGTCCGATTGCGGTTACATTAGCAGGCAGACCCAAGGAGGTTGGAGATTTAGAAATACTCGGATTTAGCACTCACACATTAGGAGTTAAATCTAACTGTAGATTGAGATACATGGAGGGTATGTTACATCCTCAATATACCGTCGAAGTCATTCCAGCCTTACCAAGAATCGATGTCGCGACTAGTTTGCCTCAAACTGCCAGTTTCAGTTCCGGTGATAATATAGTTACTAGCGCGAGTATATCACTTTATGGCGGTGAGAGGTTTGTGTCTACTATAAGCACTATACAATTTTTTTATCAATATATAATTTTTATGCAATTTTTATGCAAAATGATTTTGCTTACATTTACAGTGCTGAATGTACCGTGACAATAATGAATGCTGGACAAGTTTCTATTGAAATGGTTGAGTTATCAGTACAGTCTACTTTGGATGCTCTAACTGAAAGTAAAATTTTTAAATGGAGTGATGAGAATCTGATGACACAATTGCCTTTACAACCTGGCAGCAGTGCAAGTCTTACCTTATATCTGTACGCAGCAACAGATTTTGTAGCACCTTCAATTAGAAATGGTAATATAGTTAATTATATTTGAACTCAGTCAACCAAGCAGTTTAATATCACATTCAGGCCACAGTTCTTTGCCATCTAGGCTTAGTTCTCCGTCTCATCATACGAAAAGACAATCAGAGCTGACTTCTTCTTTTAGATCAGGAATAAGTTCACATTCAGGTCATTCTTCCTTAGCAAGCACGCGATTGTCGAAACTTGCAGCACCTTTACATACATCTAACATTATTGAAGGTCAATTAAGAATTAAATACTCAGGAGGTACAGGCTTGATAAATGGTTATTGCAGAGTTTCATCTGTTTTTATAACTATTGAGATGCTACCTAGTGTACAGATTACTAACTGGGACGTATTGCCGGCTGAAACGTAAGTTGCAAAAAAATACAATGTTTCGTAAAATAATTTATATTTTGTGTATATATATATATA